TAGCTTGACTTGGTAATCTTGCGGATGAAACTTGAACTTAAATCTTTAACTTGAAAAGAATAGCTTCAACCATAATTCCTCCAACCTCCATTGGATATGATCGTTGAAGCGCAATTCCATCCATCCTCCAACTCGTTGTTTGCCTAGAATAAATACGAAAATACAAACACTAGAAAAACAATATTAAAAGTAAATTGTTTGTTAAACATCATCAAAACAAGAAGGCCAACAATCTCCCTCTTTTTAATGATGACAAACAATTTACAAAAAGGATATATGCATGAAAGGAAATGAATATACAAAGTATAATATATCATGCATATAAACAAGAAAGAATATACTCATAATATTTCTCCCCCTTTGACAACATCAAAAAGGGTAAAACAAAAGAATGAAGAGAGTGAAAGCTCCCCCTATCAATATGCATGGGTGAGTATAACACATAGAAAGATATAAGGATTGCTCCCCCTATCAAAATGCCTTATGGAATATATGTAATAAATGCTAAGGCATACATATGTGAGCAAGCAAGAAACATGCTAAACTCAACTCACATATAAAAAGACAATGAGAACACATATAAATATATCAAGATGAACATAGTGTCTCATATCAAAGAACGTAAAACCATGTATAAGAGTAGATTTATGAAATCAAAAGAGAAGGAACATGAGAATCATGCAAAAAGTTTTCTAATAAAAACAAACCAACCAAAAGAAATCATAAATCAAAGTTTAAATCCAAAAACGATATTTGATCAATCAAGAGAATTTTCTTTGTGGGATTTGATCAAACCACATATGGAATATATTATAAGGCACGAATAGATGATCCATAAGCACAAATACATAAATATCATCATATAAGTGAAATATACTGAATTCAAAGCAATAATTCAAAACAAAATCTTTGATAAGAGAATTTTAAGAGAGGCAACAATATATCAAGCTTTTAATCTTGTTCCAACCCATATAATCATTCTAGTATCCGGTAAACATGATTTGGGAATAAACACCTAATAAACCCGAAGGGTATATAACTATAAAACTCTCATTTAAAATCAAAACTAATAATCATGAAAACAAAAGATTTGAGCAAAGAAAAATTATTTTCATAACCAAAAGATTTTAAAACATAATTTTCAAAACCAAGAAAAGGAAAAAGAAAAACACTAAAATTTTTGGTTTAAAAATTAAATTTGTTTTGGTAACCAAGAACTCTTAGTACCAAAAGATTTAGGGACATGACCCCTATCATTTAAGCTCAAAGCCCTAGGGTTATGAACCCGTTTAGGCACATGTGGTGCACTGACACGGTCAAAACAAAAATTACTCTAATGACCCTTCCAATTACAATAAGTACAATGGAAAGGAAACATTTGCTTATGTTGACCAAACGGTTGTGCACGGGACTCATTTGTAAAAATAGATTGTTCTTTAAAATTATTTTACAAATGGGAAACTCTCTTCAAATCAAAACAAAACTTGGTCAAATGATCAAATCTACCACAATGATCACACTTAAAATTTTGTGGTCTTTTAAAATTATTTGGCAAAAGTGAAGTCTTTTTTAAATCATAGCAAAATTTTGCCAAATGGCCAAAACATTCACAAAGATCATATTTGAATGCATTAGCATGTTTATGATGTGCATAATAAGCATATGCACGTGTATGTGATGAAGAAGCTACATGAGATGCACAATGAGCATTAGCATTGTTATGTTTGTGTGCATCATAGCAAAATCTAGCAAGATGGCCTTTACGACCGCAAATTGTGCATTTGTAGACTTTGCTATATATGTGTGCATGATGAGTGGATGATTTTGACTTAGACTTTACACACATATTCACAAGCTTCTTATGGTTGTTAATGCATGTATTAAGAGTTGAATCTAAAGAATAAATATGATTTTTAATAATGTTCAACTCATCATTAGGCATATTAGCATTAACTTTAGAAGTAGAACATAAATAATTATTTATAAAAGAAGCAGTATCATTTTTTATGTTCTCTACTTCTAACATGGCATTATCTTTTTCATGAGTTAAACTAGCAACATTTGAAGTTAAAGAAACATGATCCAATTTTAATTTTTTATTATTTTCTTTAAGGATCATATTTTCATTAGAAATAGTTTCAAACTTAGATGCTAACAACTCGTGATTGGATTTTAAATCTTCATGCTTGCTTTGTAAATCAATAAAATCTTTATGCAATTTGTTATAGGCATGTAATAATTTTTCACTATCACAAGCAAGTTCATCACTAGATAAATTATTAGTGGTTTCGAACTCGCAAACCTCACTAGGGCTATCGCCAGTAGCCGTGTGCATGATGCTCCATATGAGCTTGAAGTCGGATCCTCCAAAGCTTGTCGGATCGCCTCCAAGTCCCCTTGATGTGCTTTAATAAATTTTTATAAGGTGTAGACACTATCAAAATGAACAAACTTGTTAGACAAAGATGAATAAAATGCATTATGTAAGAATTCCAACAAGAGCTTATTCATAATAAATAATCTTTTATTATTTTTATTTCACTTGGATTTCTCCAATGTGGGTACAATATAAGCACAATTAATGACTTCCCATAAATTAATATTTTTAGATTGAACAAATATTTTGAATCTAAAACACCATTGAACATAAGGGAAAACATTGAATTTAGGAGCAATACCAGAATCATAGCCTAAACAAGATGCATCATTCATATCCATAATTTGTAAAAATATGCAAGTAAGACACAAATGTAATCAAACCAAGATTAGCACAAAAAGATAACTTGGATCTTTAACTCAAGGTGATTAGACCTTAAATCAAAGAGCACTAAGCTCTGATTCTAATTGTTAGACCCTAGAGGGGGGTGATTAGGGTCTTATGCTAATATAATCTGATTTTATGCTAATTAAAACTAACTAATAAGTTATCCTAGTAAGTATGAAATACAATAAGATAAATGAGCTAGAATAAGCAATATGAACAAATGAATATATCCTAGCAATGAGATATAATATAAGATATATGCAAGGATATATAATTAACACAAGGGTAAACAATCTAACTACAAATGTGATAGGGCAAAGTATAGGCAATTGGCGATATAAGATAAATGCATAAGTAAATGCGCCAATGACAAACTCAAACACACTCAAATGATCACGGAGTTCGGACATTCCGTCCTACGTCTCTGCTCCCCACTCCCGGGGAGAAATCCACTATCACAACCGGGTTTTCTACGCTCACACGAATAACGTTTACACCTCATAATGTCGGTTTTCAACGCTCACCGATCAATGTTCATAACACTCACAATGTCGGTTTTCAACGTTCACCGATCAACGTCTACACTTCTCACACTCGGTTTTCTAACTCACTGAAAACTTTACAATCTCACAAAATAACAAATGATTGTTCTCAAATATGGATGATAACACAATGAAGCTCACTCTTAATGTTACAACACTCACCAACCCAAATATACTATGTATACAAATACAATAAGCTCAAGTGGGTGTGTGTAAACAATGAGTGAAATCAAATCAACTAAACTCAATTGAAAATACTAGCTTAATGAAAATAATAAACAACAAAGAATTAATAAAAAGCTAGATAAGAGTTTAGAAATTCTTCTTTGAAAAACAAGATGGAGAGATGGATTAAGATGAAGCTCAATCAATGTAGATGATCTCATTCACTTGTAAAACAAACTTCACAAACCAAACAAACTTTAAACCAAACTTAAACCCTTGTTAAAAACTCTTTTAAACTTGTTTAAAACATTTCATTGGTTGTCATGAAAGATAAGAGCAAGGGGGTATATATAGCCTCCCAAAATCTCAGCCAAAACCCAAAAGAAAAGGACCAAAAAACCTAAGAATCAGAAATCTGATTCTGTACCAAAACTAGCCGTTGGAGTGAACGGCGGCCACTTTCGAAGCTGAGAAATTTCTAGAGACTTTGGCGGTCGACCGTCATGAGAAAATTCAAGCTGACGGTCGACCGTGGCGGTCGATCGTGAAAGTTTTTATTTGACTCCGCAGGTAAAAACTCAGGTACGGTCAACCGTGGCGGTCGACCGCAAACTGATACATGAACAGAACAGTTTGAAAGTTAATTTTCTGATTTTAAAACCCTATTTAAAAATATCAAATAAATTTAGAAAAATATAAAATTTTGGGAAATAATTGTAGATATGATAATACACATGCTACAAAAAATGGTTTTTAAAAAGGACTTCCCAAATGTAAAATATTATCATTTTATAAGGAGGTCCAAAACATAGAAATGTAAACATATGAATTTTAACATTTTGCCTAAACCATATTTTGAAATAAGGAGGTCCAAAACATAGAAATGTAAACATATGAATTTTAACATTTTGCCTAAACCATATTTTGAAACTTTACAAAATGATTTTATAGACTTGAAGAAAGATGTAAACTATTGTTATGAACTCTATAAACAATGAATATAGTATTTTATTAAAATACATATATAATGCACTAAAACATGATTTCATTGAACTAAATAAAATTAATATTGATGAAATCATATATATGCATATAAGTATGAAACAAAATATGTTTTCTAATTATATTTAATTGTTTCATAGTAAAACTTGAAAACTATCAAACCAAAATATATATGTATATATATAACTATATATATACATGGAAACCAATAAATGTGTGTGTGTATATTATATTGAGCTTAAGGTACTAACACACATAATACAAACTCCTAAACTAAATTACCCAAGCTTGATCTTAATCTTCAATAGCTTGACTTGGTAATCTTACGGATGAAGCTTGAACTTGAATCTTTAACTTGAATAGCATAGCTTCAACCACAATTCCTCCAAACTCCATTGGATATGATCGTTGAAGCGTAATTCCATCCATCCTCCAACTCGTTGTTTGCCTAGAATAAATACGAAAACACAAACACTAGACAAACAACATTAAAAATAAATTGTTTGTTGAACATCATCAAAATAAGAAGGCCAACAACATCTAGATGGGGGAGACAGTGTTAGTTCTGACAGAAGAACGGAGGAGACTCCAAGTGCAGAGACTACTACCCAGGGTGTGGAGCTTAGGAGGTCATCCACGGTACCCAAATCGAATCCCAGATATCTTTCATCACTAGATTATTTGCTCTTGATAGATGGTGGAGAACCGGAGTGCTATGAAGAGGCTATGCAAGTTAGTGAATCTCAACAGTGGGAGCAGGTGATGTAAGAAGAGATGGATTCTCTCCACTCAAACGAGACATGGGAGTTAGTTCAGCTACCTACACAAAAGAAAGCCCTACATAACAAATGGATTTACCGGGTCAAGGATGAGAGTGATGGTAGAAAGAGGTATAAGGCCATATTAGTTGTGAAAGGGTTCTAACAGCGGGAAGGAGTAGATTATACGGAGATATTTTCCCTCGTCGTGTATCTTACAACCATCAGAATTGTGTTAAACTTAGTAGTTGCCGAAAATCTCTACCTTGAGCAGTAGGATGTGAAGAGTGTCTTTCTTCATAGTGACTTGGATGAAGAAATCTACTGAAGTAACATGTTGGCTTCATTGAGAAAGGAAAAGAAAGAGATGGTGTGTAGGCTCAAAAAGAGCTTATATGGTTTGAAACAGGCTCCGAGATAATGGTACAAGAAGTCTGACAACTTCATACAGAGTAATGGCTATGGAAGATGCAATTCAGATCATTGTTGCTACTTTAAGAAGTTCGAGTCTAGCTATATCGTGTTATTATTGTATGTTGGTGACACTACAACAAATTGCACTTTTGGCGACGCTTATTCCCGACGCATGGTTGAATACGTCGCCAAAAATTATGTTTTTCCCGACGATTTTAGTTAGCGTCGGCAAAACATATATTTTTCCTGACGTTTATAATTAGCGTCGCTAAAAGTGTATATTATTAGCGACGTTTTAACTTAGCGTCGGTAAAAATGTATGGATTTCCCGATGTTTTTTTATTTTCGTCGGCAAAAATATAGCTTTTAGCGACGCAAAATTGTAGCGTCAGTAAAAATATAGTTTTTTAGTGACGCAAAGCTGTTGGTCGCTAAAAATTATACCGGCGACGCGAGTTAGCGTCGGCAAAGGTCCAAAATTTTTCCATTTCCCGCAATTTATTTGGTTCGCCGCTCAAATCCCTATCTCAAAACCCCATCTCTCTCAAATCCTCTCTCCGCTTCTCCCTCTTCCATTCGCCGCCGCCCTCCCACCTCAGCGACGGACCCCTCCTCCTTCCCAGATCCGTGCCGCCCGAACCCCCAGCGCCGCCTCCCCACGCCGCCGTCGCCACCTCCAGCCTCATCACCACCCACCGCCGCTCCTCCTCCCTCCTCTCCGCCGCTGCCACCTCAGCCTCAACCCTCCGCCTCTCTCCTCTTCGCCACCACCCCGCCGTCCAGGTCCCCTTACGCCGTCAGCAACCCCTAATTTCGCCGGTGATAAGGTACTCTTTGATCGAAACCCCAGTTGTTTAAATTCTGAATTATTAGGTTTAAATTCTGAATTATTAGGTTTAAATTCTGAATTATGTTGATTTGTTGTACTCCTTGAAAAACACCTTACAAGAAATTGATGAAATATAGAAATTGGTTTTAAAATATATTCAACAATCCGTACCCTGCATTTTCTTTAGCCAACTAATAGATTGATGATCTTTGTTCATCAATTGCAGGCCCAGTTGAGCTTGCAGCTGTTGGTGTGTCTATTGCAGTATTCAACCAAGTATCAAGGATTGCAATATTTCCACTTGTTAGCGTCACAACCTCCTTCGTTGCTGAGGACGATGCTACTTCAAAAATGGCTACTGAGCTTGAAAGTGGAGATTCAGAAAGGTGTCCTTCTGAAAACAGTGAATTAAAAGAATTAATTCCGACGAATGGTATGAACAATTTTAAACACATTTTACTTGCACTTAACTGGACGGTTAATGTTTTATCTAGTTTTATCTAGTTCTATTCGGTACTATTTTCCATGTCTTTATGGCTCCATATGTCTGCACCTTTCTAAAAATGTTCTTTATGTTTATCAAAATTTGTAGCGATTGGTTGGGAATTTTCATTCACATGTGCATCTGTAAGTAGTTTTTTTTAAATATGATGGTCTGACATAACTCCTTACATGTTTTTGATAGTCCTATTTCAGATTGTCTAGTAATCCTTCCAAACACTTGAAATGCATGTCAACATATTCAAGCATAGATTGATTTGGACCAATGTAGAGTCGAGTTTCATGATACGTTTGACTACTTCTGAGAGGGTAAAAAACATGTCTAATTAATTTATTTTACCCTGCATTGAGTATGCTGCGGACACTCTGAAAATTGAGTATGCTGCGGACAAATTGACTATTTCTGTTGGGAAGGAACAAATTGAGTATGCTGCGGACACTCTGAAAAGATTCACGTTGGTTATTTTTCAATGAGCAATGTTGTAGTTAAGATTGTACGATCTCTGCATTGAGTCCCACGTTGACTAAATAAATTGACCCATGATATTGTATGGTCTATGTACTTAGCTTTGTGACTTATACATTTTGTATTAGATTCTTACTTACTGTGATTCTCTTGTTAATTCGTTGTGATAATTTTTGGGAGCTTTCAAAACATATGACATGCTTCAATAGTAACCAATTGATATGAAATTAAGGATATGATGATGATAGTCCACGCTGTCTTATCTCCATTTACTGCAACATCAATGTTATCTCCGACAACGAGACGCTATGTACTTCATTAGATTTTCTTTACTTTACTATATCCTCATTTTCTTCTTATTTTCCTGCAGATTCCTTTTGGGGGAACTGGCAAAAGTGGATCCATCCACTATGAACAATGACCAGAAGCTGGCATTTTGGATCAATTTGTATAATTCATTGATAATGCATGTAAGTATAACACGGATTCATTTTTTACCATGAGATGTAACTTTTAAAAAAAATTCTGTAGGAATTGAGATTTGTTTATATCTTTATACCTTAATTGCTTCTAAACTCATGCTGTTTCAAAATCTATCAGGCCTACCTAGCATATGGAGTTCCAAGAAATGACATCAAGTTCTTTGCTCTAATGCAAAAGGTTCATATTGATGACTTCTCTTCTCTATTTCCTAGGGTAAATCAGAATTCAAGTAAGAACTGAAATTTAGTGACAATATTATGTGACTGATGCAGGTATCTTATACTATAAGAGGTCAATCATTCAGTCCAGCCGACATTGAATTTGTCATTCTAAAGATGAAACCTCCACCCCATCATCCACAAATAGTATGTATATTTTCCTTCATATTTTCGGGTTCTAATGTTTCGATATTCGATGCTCATAAGATAAACCGTAAAATTACCTTTAGGCTTTGGCTTTGGCTATTCATACCTTTAAAATATCAGAGGAGCACAGAATATACTCAATTGACGCCCCCAGAGCCACTTTTAGTGTTTGCCCTCAGCTCCGGGATGTTTTCCTCTCCACAGAGAGCACATGAACAATTAAAACTATTCCCAATTGTTTTTTGTAAGTCATACTCTTTCTACTCTTTCCAATTCTGGAGTTCACTTGCATAAGAGGTTTAGCTGCTTTTTTTTATACACTAATGTGAAGATTGCCTGCAATGTGGTAGCCCCTCCAAGCTTGTCACACCATCTCATACTCTCGAATATCATTGTCATTTATGTAAATTAGGATAAACCACAAAACAGTAATCAAGTTTTGTGAAATGACTATTGCAGAGTGAGGCTGCTAGTGTGATTTGGTTATCTGAACACTAGAAAGCTAGCTTCCAGAGCCTAAATAGAGATAAATGGTGAAAAGGATTAGAGCAGAAACCCATAAGTTTTTGGATAACTGCTTTGTTGTTAGTGTTGCCGCGGCCGCCGCCATTATAGGATCAACATTGAAATGCTAAAGAATCTGACATGGCATCCAGGTAAGGCGGATGCTCATATGTGCTGTTTTATTAGTCAATCATATCCAAGTCTGAGCAGAGTAACATTTACTGTCAGTATGAATGTGCTTTTCCTTCAGAATTTATGGAACTAGATGGACTTAAAAAGAAATCTGAACTGATAATTATCCAAATGATCAGATAGGTTATTGGGTATCATTTATAACCCTCTTTGATGCTACAGCAAACCTCTTTAACTAGGGACAGATACTAACTAGAGATGGCAGGTTGCTACTTCACATTAGTGTATAAAAAAAAGCAGCTAAACCTCTTACCACCTTCCCCAAAATAATAATAATAATAATAATAATTGGGAAATATACATACTGCTGGAAATATATATATGTACGAATAGTATTTGTTTGAGCTATATATTTTCACTGCAGAAGGAAATGTAACAAAATAGTTGGAGGGAAAATACGATGAATTCTGAAAATTGTACGAATAGTATTTGTTTGAGCTATATATATGTAGCTGATAATATGACGTTGCATTTTCTCTAACAGGAAATAATCAAAGAACTGATGGAAAGGCTACCACACATGAAAGAGCTTATGGATATGTACTGTGGCCCTGATAGAGTGACTGCAAAGCAACAAATGCAGGAGTTAGACAGAGTCGCAAAAACTCTACCAGAGAATATACCTTCATCTGTGAAGAGGTTCACTGATCATGCCATTCTTTCACTTCATGTTTTCTTTATTTCAACTTAGTTTAGTTTACTGTAAATCTTATAATGTGTCATTCTCTGAAATGGAAAACACTGAATATGGCAAACTAGAATATTTAAACAGGTCTTTGAGTGTTGACTTGGAAATGGAAATGAATGTAATTATTTTGCAATTGGAGCAAATTCCTTGTTTATCATAATATGCAACTTGTTTGGAGTATAATTTGATGTTTGGTTTCTTTGTTGATGTGAATGTGAGCAAATTTTTTGTGGATGTTCAGGTTCAGTGTAGGCTTGTAGTTGACAGAAAAGATATTACTTTTGTCGATGCAAATTAGTGTCGATAAAATTATACTTTTTACCGATGCATAATTATGCGTTGCCAAAAATTATACTTTTGCCGACGCTACCTTGCGTCGGCAAAAGTATAGCTTTTAGCGACGCTATCTTGCGTCGCCAAAAGTATAGCTTTTAGCGACGTTTCACTCTGCGTCGCTAAAAGCTGCACTTTTGCCGACGCTAACTTGCGTCGCCAAAAGTATAGTTTTAGCGACGAACAATTTTGCATCGCTAAAAGCTATACTTTTGCCGACGCATAGCTTTTGCCGACGCTGCATGCGTCGCCAAAAGTACACTTTTGCCGACGCAAAATATTATGCGTCGCTAAAAGATATACTTTTCCCGACGCATGACGCGTCGCCAAAAGTGTACTTTTGGCGACGCAGTGTATTGGCGTCGCCAAATACTTTCCTTGACGCACTTTTGGCGACGCGCTAGCGACGCTGCATTTTGCGTCAGGAAAGATTTTTCCCAACGTTTTTTAAACTTTTGCCGACGCTTTTGTTTCGTCGGCAATATTGTATTTTGTTGTAGTGTGACATGTTAGTTGCAGGATCGTGTTTAGAGGAGATAAATAAATTGAAGAAATAGTTAGCGAATGAGTTTGCTATAAAGGATCTGGCTGCAAAAAAGTAAATTCTTAGGATGTGAATCAGTACAAATGAAGTTGAAGTGACATTGAGGTTGAGTCAGGCTGAATACATTAAGAATGTACGCCAGAGATTCAACATGGAGAATGTTAAGCCCGTCGGAACGCCTCTTAGAAGTAAATTCAAGCTATCTAATGAGAAATCATCCAAGACAGATGTAAAAAAGGAGCACATGAGCAGGTTACCATACTCATCAGCCATTGGTAGCCTTATGTACGTGATGGTTTGCACGAGGTCGGATATCGCCCATACAGTAGGAGTTATGAGTAGGTTTGCAAGTAATCCAGGGAAGCAGCATTGGAAGGCCGTGAAGTGGATATTGCGTTACTTGAGAGGGACTACGGATATTTCATTATGTTTTAGGAGGAAAGAATTAATACTGCAGGGATACGTGGATGCAGATTTTGCCAATGATCATGATACGATGCGAAGTATCACGGGGTATGTTTATACCTTAACGTCAACAGCAGTGAGCTGGGTCTCACGTTTGTAGAAGATAGTAACATTGTCCATAACTGAGGCAGAGTATGTCGTAGTGACTGAAGCCAGTAAGGAGATGATTTGGTTGACCGGGTGCCTGCAGAGTTAGGTTTGAAGCAGGAAAACGACGTTCTTTATTGTTATAGCCAGAGTGCTATACACCTTACCAAAAATCTAGTATATCATGCCAGAACAAAGTACATCGACGTACGTTACCACTTCATACGCTCGTAGATTAAGGACGGCAAGTTACAATTGGAGAAGATTTTAGTGAGCCATAATCCTTCGGATATGTTAACGAAAGCAGTGACTATCTACAAACTAGACTTGTGCGCAACTTCGGTTGGCCTTCACGCGTAGGAGATGAAGGCGGAGCCACACTAGGAGGACAGGCGGGATCGTTAGATTGATGATGATTAAAGAATAGATTTTTTTTCCGAGTAAGAGAAGTTGCTTGCGAAGAAGGCGGGAGTTTGGGAGAACTCATTGATGGTGGTTTCGTCTCCAAGTGATAGATTGTTGGTTTTGAAAGTGTGAAGACCGAAACTTGAAGAAGAAATTATCAAACAAGCAGAAAAGCCCAGATCAGTCAACCGAATTGACTATAGGAAGTTCGCTATGGTTGGCCGACCGACACAAGATCATCGGTCTGTTAACCTTTTTATTTTGATAATGATTTACAAATAATTTACTTCTAATATTGTTTGTCTAGTGTTTCTATTTTCATATCAATTGTAGACAAACAATATATTGGAGGATTGATGGAATTACGCTTCAACGATCATATCTAATGGAGGTTGGCAGAATATCGGTGTGAAGCCATACAATTCAAGTTAAAGATTTAAGTTCCGGCTTCATCCGCAAGATTACCAAGTCAAGCTTATTGAAGATCAAGATTGCTTGGGTATATTTAGTTTTGATTTATATTATGTGTGTTCAATACTTTAAGCTCAATATCATATACACACATTTTAGTTTTGGTTTCTATATATATAGTTTTATATATACATACAAGTTTTTTAGTTTTTATGTATATATATATATAGTTATACATATAGTTATATATATATATACATAAATGTTTTTGGGTTTCCATGTTTATAAATATGAGATTACATATTTTATATTCATTATTGTGTTTTAGAAAATATTGTATAGAATATGTATATTTGTGAAAATATTGTTTCTAGTTTATAGACTTTATAACAACATTTATATCCCTTATTAAGTCTATAAGAACGTTTGCAAATGTTTTAAAGTTGTGTTTATGTCAAAACATCAAATTTCATGTATATCAACTTTTTATGTTTTGGACATACTTACAAAATACATGAGTTTTTATAATTGGGAAATACAATTTGAAAAATTTCTTTGTTTACATGTTTATATTCATATATATAAACTTTTCCCCATGTTTTACTAATTTTGGATTTGTTTTGTTATTTTCAATTGAATTTACAAAACCGAGTTTTTAGCAATTATTTAGAAACTATTTATCTGTGTTCAAACATTTATTTCTCTCAACTGGAAAGTGATATTTTAGACATTCTTTCTCTAACATGTTCATCTACATATCTAGAACCTTTCTTCAAAACTTCATGATTTTTGGAGTTATTTTACTATTTTTAATTAATTTTATAAAGTTAGATACGTAAATTTCCAAAATCTGTCAAAACCTGAAATTGTTTGTGCACGTATAAGTCAACTCATAAGTCGACTCATGAGTCGACTTATGAGTAGACTCATGAAGTACAGCATAGTTATGTTTTTCTTCTACTGAGTCGACTCATATAAGTCAACTCATAAGTAGACTTATAAGTCGACTCATAAGTCGACTTATCAGAGAGTCGTTGCACAGTAATGGTTAGTTTTCTGTTTTGTTTGTTTTTAGGTTTTTGGTCTTTTTACTTGGGTTTTGGTTGATGTCTTGGGTTGTTATAAATACCCCATTGCATTTACCTCTTCTATTATCTAAGAGTATGTTTTAACAAAGTTTTAATAAGGGTTTAAAGTTTTGTTTAAGTTTATTTAAAAAGCTTTTAAGTATTTTTCTAGTTTCGGTTTGTGAAGAGAATTTCACAAGAGCAATTGGAGATCATCATTTGGTGTTTGAGCAATCACTCTTCTCCCTCTCTCTTGTTATCATCTAGAGAAGTTTTCCTAAACTCATTCTAGCTATTTATTATTTTGTTTCTAATTTCCATAAGCTAGATTTATTTATTATTTTGTTTCTAATTTCCATAAGCTAGATTTATATTGAGTTTAGTTAAATTATTTTTATTGAATTTCTTTGTTCACACACAACTTATTGAGCTCATAGTATTTATATTCATAGTATAATTTGGGTTGTGGGGTTTATGACTTAGAGTTGTGCCTAATTGAGTTCTCACCTTGTTTAGAGAACAATCATTTGTATTGAGCCTTCATTATGAGATCATATTGTATTACACTTGTACACCGAGAGGAGTGTGTGGTGAGGACTGAATCGATACCAAGAGGAGTGGCGTCGATGGCCTAGTGAGAGGTGATAATTCTGAGCACTTGAGGGAGTCGATACGTGAGGACCAATACTTGAGGTTGTAGCTTGTGTATGTACATTGTGAGGATTTGTGAGAGTTGTTGGTTGACTTGATAACCGAGTATGTAGAGTTTTAGGTTAGCTAGAAAACCGAGTGTGTAGAGAAGTTCCGGCTTTCAAACCTGATTGTGTAGTGGATTCTCCCCGGAAGTGGGGAACGGAGACGTAGGACGGAAGGTCTAGACTCCGTGATCATTTCCTTGTGTTTGAGTTTGGCATTGGCGCATTTATTCTTGCATATTGTTATATCGCCATTGTTACATGTTAATTTTATTTACCCTTGTTTATATTATATATCCTTGCACATATCTTGTAGCATATCATACTTGCCAGGATATATTTGTTAGTAAGTTTTAATTGGCATTTAAATCAGATTAGATTAGCAAAAACCCTATTCACCCCTCCCCCTCCCCCCTCCACGAAGTCAAGAAACTTACAGGAGTTTCGGGTCAGTCGACCGATGGCACTGAGTCGGTCGACCGACAACATGCATGAGCAAACTGTAGAAAACAATGTTCTGGCCGGTCGACCAATGCCATTGCACCGGTCGACCGACGTCAGATTTTCTAATTTCCTAATTCGTTTGGGTATCTGTTTTGGGCTGTGATACTATATATACGTTGATATGTTTTTAGGATTTGTAGAACACGAAAAAAGAAGGATTTTGATGGCACTTTGAGATCAGAGATCTTAGAGAGAGAGGGGGAGAGAGAGACCTATTGCGAGCATTGTAATCTTCTTTAATTAATCAAAGTTTTTGGTGTGGCTCCTAAAGACGTAGGCACGTTTGCCGAACCTTGTTAAATCTTGTGTTCTCTAATTTTATTATTCTTTCTTGCAAGTTTTTCTTTATTTGTTATGATTTCATGCTTGCCTATTTTCGGCACAAGATCCGAAAGGGCTCAGGTTGTGTGTTCAATCCCAACATGTTGTTGAAGGACTTAATAGTAAGTTTTGCATCTTATATATGATAAGAAACTTGTTAAAACTGTTGGG